ACAGTGCTGTCCCCACGCAGATCCGACGTCCCAGAGACAGTGCTGTCCCCACGCAGATCCGACGTCCCAGAGACAGTGCTGTCCCCACGCAGATCTGACGTCTCAGAAAGACGGTGCTGACCCCCCTCCAGATCTGATGTCTCATAGAGACAGTGCTGTCCCCCCCTCCTCCATGCCACTGCAGCGGCCTGAGCTATGTGTGTCCAGGCACCCATCCATGGCGGCCCCAGGGCCCCCTGACACTTGGGGGAACTCAGAGTTGCCACCAGAAGGCCCTCTGCCCAGCTGGGCCCCGGCCTGGCATGCCCAGGGTGGACATGAGGGGGCATAGCCTCCCAGCCGCCCTTGGGATGACTCGGGCGCTTGCGTCTGCGGAGGACGCCCCCCGGGAGGCGAGTGGGGCCCCGTCCTGCCCTCTGAGGGGTCACCCTCTAGGAGAGGGGATCTGGGAGAAGAGGGCGTGGAGGTCCCACAGGGACCCCGCACTGAGAACAGAACCGGGCAGGCTCAGTGCTTCCTGGAAGCAGGACACACCCCAGGCCAGCGTCAGTCAGCGCATCAGCAGATTGAAGCGGGAAACATCAACTCGTCCGACCGTCCCAGTAGAAGCACGAGTTTCCCTTTACAAAATTCAGCAACCACTCAAACACGCAGGCCAGCTCTGTGGACAGACACCCCCGGACCTCCCATCTCGTGGTGGAGGGTCTGTGCCCGGCCAGCATCACTGCAGGGCGGGGCCTGTCCTCGCCCTGCCCGGCCCTGCACTGGGGTGACAGGAGCAGGGGAGGAGAAGGGAAGGGACAGACGCATTGCTGGGAGATGATGTAACTGTGTGTCCAGAAATCCAAAATAATTCACAGATAAATCATTGGAAGTGGAGAGCTTGCTCGGCAAAGCTTCTGGGATCCGACCCAGTGTGTAAGGGGGTCCCTGTGTTTTCTACGGCGTCAGCAGTCTTAAAGATGGAACATTTCTAGAGCTGTCATTAAAATAGCCTCCAAAGATTAAAAAAAAAAAAAAAAGCTATCGCAGTGAAAGATGGGGGGTCCCTGGGGACGCCGAGACGGTGAGATGAGGAGGTTCCTGATGAGCAGTGACACCCCCCACCCCCGGGGAGGGCAGTGCTGAGGCTTAACCAGTGTCCTCTGCAGACCAGGGACAGGCTGGACACTCCTCAAATTGGTAGGTCAGGCGGGACTGGGGTGGGGAATTCCAGCAGGATGTCTGTTTATGGGCCAGAGACAGAAACTTCCCTCAGGGAATCTCTGGTGTGCACTAAAGGCCTTCCGCCTGATTGGATCAGGCCCACCCACCTTGTGGCGGGTCATCTGCCTTGACTGAGGACCTCAGCCACATCCAGGCTAGCCTTTGACTAAATGGCTGGACAGCACACCCCACCCACGTCAACACCCAGACGGACCCTCACAGACGGTCTCTGGAGGAAAAGTGATTCCGGAAGATGTTCTCTGTAGGAGGCCTGCCCTGTGATGTGCGAGAAGAAGGCTGGGCAGGAAGCCATGGAAGCGGTGGCGGGGCTCAGGAGCATAACGGTGGGCTTGTATGAGTGCCTGCTTTCAGCAGGACAAGCAGAGGTCAAGGTGCCCCAGGCACTCCGCTCCTGCACCATGTCCAGCTTCTCCCCCACAGCCCCGTCCTCTCTCCTCTCATCTTTGGTCCTGTGATTGAGCTTCGTGTCTCACAGAATCCATGAACTGCCGAGGAGAAGTGGCTCACGTGGTTGTGGAGGCTGGCAAGTCCCTGGACTATGATTCGGACATCGGGCCAGAGGGTTCTCCTGGGGCAGAAATCCCAAAGTGGCAAGTCAGACAGCAGGCTGCTGGCTCACAGGGCTGCGAAAGACAGAGAATCAGGCCAGATGATAGGCTGCAGGATCCCAGGCAGCAGGAGCTTGTGAACTGTCAGATGGCAGGCTGCTCTGTGCAGGGAATCGCGGGCTCATCCCCAGCAGGCCACGGGCTCCAGGCCCAAGAGCTGGAGGTCAGACACAGATTACGACGAGCAAGAGAGACTACTGCTGGAGCATTCCCATGCATCGGACTAGACGCCACGGAAACTGACGCGGGGGCTGGAGTCACACCTTCCGCTAAGGTAGCTCACTCCAGATATGGCCCACCCTCATCCTGCCTCTTGCACAAAGTGCTCAACTCATTCCCAAATGGAGCCATGACTGTGGGCGCCTCAGCACAGAGGACTGTGGGCGGACGGGCCGTCTTCGGTCATCCCTTGCCCCTCAGCCGAACTGTCTGCGCAGAGATGGCAGACCGTCCTTCCCCTTCTGGGGACCAGGAGACAGGAGGCCACACTGTTCTCCAGATCAGAGGTTCCCCACGATAAATGCGCAAGGGTCTTCCTAGAGAGGGTGTCATTAAGGAGGGGAGAGCCTGGTGTCTTCCTCCTGCGGGCTCCCTGGCTCCTCCTCCCGCCACGGAGCGGCCAGCCGAGGCGCCAGAAGACAGACTTCTGAGATGAGAGGTTTATCCTTCTGCGCTATGAAAAGGATTCGAGCCGATAGCACCACCAGCTGCCTGGCGTCATCTGCGGACCCTGGAATCCCAAGAAGATACCGAGCCTTCTCTTCTCTGATGCCATGGGGCCCCAGGGGCCGGTGAAGGAGGAGACAGGATGCTTCCCGCGGTGGGAAATTCTCTGTACACGATGACTCATTCTGGCTGTAAAAAACAGAGATGATTTTCAGCTGCGGCTTAGATTCTGGGATCTTGCTTGGCCCCCCGAAAGTGAAATGTTCCTTATGTCCAAGCCCTCCATCAGATAATGTTAACGGGGAGGAGACGTTGTTGGTGGGGGACAGCTACCTCGATCACTTTCATCCTCTGTCTGCACGTCAGGACCGTGGGTGGGCCTGGGCCAGCCATGGGGACCTCACATCCTGGAGGTGACCCTCAACCCATGGGGGCTCCCAGGGACCGCCGGGCCCATGCCTAGGGCCAGGTGACCTAACTATGGCCACTCTTCACACAAGGCGAAGGGCTTGCCCTGAGGCACAGCAGGGGAGGGGTACTGTCCAAACCCAGCAGTCAGGGCCTGGGGGCTTCATCGGCCACATCTCAGAGCAAAGTGTGAGCCCCCCACCGCCCAGAGCTGACGGCCGAGGGGTCTCTGCAGGCAGGGCTGTGGTGGCCAGCATCAGCTCCTGTTGAATACGCTTCCCCGAGAGCTGGGTCCACGCCACACCCCACCTGACCCGACCTCGGGAGATGGGTGCTCACTGCAATCACCCCACACTGAGTGGCTGAGGAAGCTGAGGCCTAGAGGAGTCGGGTGACTCCAACTGCCACCCCGTGCCCGCCCCCCAGCTGGGAAACCTGGGGCAGGTCTCCCTGGCAGGAGGGTGATGTCCAGTGCCAGGCAGTGTGGTATCAGTGTGCCCAGGAGTGCCCTGAGGCGAGGGGGAAGGCAGCCCTATCGTTGACTGTGAAAGGGGTTTCTCTCACTCTGACACACACACACACATATGCACACACACACACACACTCATGCAATCACACACATTCAGCTACATATACACACACCCCTTCAGTCACACACATTCAGTTACACCCACACGCAGTTACACACATGCGAGCACAGTGGCACACACTCCGCCACACACGCACATGCACACACGCAGTCACAAATTCACAGCCACTCACAGACACACACTCCATCACACATACGCTCCATTACACATACACAGTCACACGAATTCACACTCAGTCACACCCACACGCAGTTACACACCCACACAGTTACACACTCCATCACACACATGCTCAGTTACTCACACACAGTCACATACCCACACTGAGTCACCCACACGCAGTTACACACACACACACACACACACACACACATTCATACACGCTCCGCCACACACATGGTCCATTACACAGTCACACATATTCACATTCACAGAGTCACACACACTCCATCACACACACGTTCAGTTATACACACACAGTCACACATACACACACTTATTCAGGGTCACACACAGT